TTAGATGATCTGTCTGAAAAACAGTCTCACCAGTACAGATGCACTTACAAACTGTCTGCATCCTAATTGTCACATTAATTTTCGTTATTGTTTAAAGTCTTTTGTCTTATTTTCATGGCTTCCTTGGACTTTTTATGTCCTCCATTTTTCATCTACCACCTCGTATCTTCCTCATTTATAAAGTTAGAGAACTCCAGGAATTACTCAATAATGTCAAGTCTGACGTAGATGATGACAGACTGTCTGACTAACAACTGAAGGAGTAGGTGATACTCCACCGACTATTTTCATTTGTAAATCAAACTATCTGTTGAGTTCAAGTTGGTGGACAACATGTAAGATATTTTTTTTACACTGCAAAGCTTTCTCTTTTTTGAAGGATATAGAGGCTTATGGACGTTTGTGTTAGATGATCAGCGTTGTTCTTTACTGGATGTAATTACCTAGAGTAGAACACTATTATCTTTGATGCTAACTTGTTCTTTCCCACTCTACATCAAAATTTCAGACGACGAGGAGAAAATGTAAGTGATTGACCTATGTTAGAGGTAATGGTATCAAACAGTATGAGTTTATTTTCCTTCCTATTCTTAATGGTCAGCTACTAAATTTATTTGTGAATGACACTTTATCACAATATCCAGTTTATCATATCAAGTGAGCTTTTGATAATCAGTTACTAAATCAGGATTTATTATTTCGGCTAACGTGTATTTGAATATGCGGATATGTATACTACTCACATCTTTGATATAAATGAAATGTAGGTATGAATATGCATAGTGTCTATTTCTAATGGAGTAGGAAAATTCACTAGTACGTGATTTGAGCAGGAAATCGATCAAGACGGGAAAATGTAGTGTATTAACTTGTGTCCATCATTTTCAACCATTTATCTGTGAACTTCTTCTGAGACTAGTTCACTAACGGTAGATTTGTTAAACTACGTCAGTCTATTTATTATTATTATTATTTGTTCCTTGGGTTCCTAGGGAAATATACAGCTTCAGCAGCACCTCTCCATTCCACTCTAGCCTCTGCAATCTTTTCAACATCGCTCCACATCAACCAACAAACTCTCATTTATTCCTCACTGACACGATCTCCTCCATATCACAAGCAACAGCGACACCCAACTCGTCGTTTCCCATCTGAGTCCCACTCGACGGACTGACCTGACGCGTGATATCCCGAATGATCTTCTCAGTGAATGCCCAATCCAATCCAATCCAATCCATCTCCACTTCCTTCCACTGCATATTTGTTGACTGATAGGTTGTTGGTTGGTTGGTTCGTTGGCAGATGGCCAGCCAGCCAGCCAGCCAGCCAGCCAGCCAGCCAGCCAGCCAGCCAGCCAGCCAGCCAGCCAGCCAGCCAGCCAGCCAGCCAGCCAGCCAGCCAGCCAGCCAGCCAGCCAGCCAGCCAGCCAGCCAGCCAGCCAGCCAGCCAGCCAGCCAGCCAGCCAGCCAGCCAGCCAGCCAGCCAGCCAGCCAGCCAGCCAGCCAGCCAGCCAGCCAGCCAGCCAGCCAGCCAGCAAGCCAGCCAGCAAGCCAGCCAGCCAGCAAGCCAGCCAGCCAGCCAGCCAGCCAGCCAGCCAGCCAGTCAACCACAGTTCCTTGTTGCTTATACTCATTATTCTGGACATCCGATCAATCTTCAGTATCGAGGCAGCGTAGGTGGCAGTTGTTGACGAACGTCTATAATTTGTTGGAAATGCCTTTCGTGACATGCCAAGTCTGTCAAGCATCAGATGGAGGCACTGACTTCACTGAATTAGTGTTGAGAACCTGGATGTTGTTCACGTTTTATGCTGGGTGGAATGTAGAAGATCTCCACACTGGTTTCAGATTTCTGAAGGTCTGTCTTTCTGTTTTTCCTATCCTGTCTGCTTTGATGTCCCCGCCTGTAGTTGAAACGATGCTGCCAACGTGGGTAGGTGAAATGGGTTACTTTGTTGAAGTTTCTCGCGTTCATGGTGATTGGTGTTTGTTGTTGTTGTTGTTGTTGGTGGTGGTGGCGTTGGCTGAACTTCAGTCCAATAAATTGGCATATTTACCTCCATTTATTTATTCGTTTAAAAAGGTAAAGTATCGTGAGTACACACCATGAACAAACATGATCATGTCGATGAAATCCGATGGATTCTCTTTGGCAGCAGTAAGATCATGCAGGATCATTTAAAAAGGGGGATTAGGAAATTGAAAAGAAAATTGATCTGAAATTCACTGAAATTCGTTCAAACGAATGTCATTAGCAAGGTAGTACTTAGTGAAAACTATCAAAAAATAACGTAAAACAGTGTAAATTATTTCCTTTACGACAGGAAGAAGCAGTAAAACAACAGAAGGTTTGCTGTCAAGTCAAGATGTGCCTTATATATGTTTTCAAGTGCTCTGTCATATTCATCACAATGCTCTAAGGTAAGCTTAAACATTCCGAAGCTCACACGTAAGATCACGTGAATTATCACGAATGCTGGACATGCTATGATTGGTTATGTTAGCTTTCAGGGAATTCCAGGCTTCATAGAGGAGTCTATGAGACGGCGATTCGTTCCATAACAGTTCAACCACCTATGAAAATGTTAAATAAACTCAGAAAGTAACGCTTTCTCACGCTGTAAACTCATTTTTTACAAATATGCCATTAATCTAATCTGCTGGTACTCTCCAGGGTTCGACATATACTTGAAGAATCTCCCCCTACACTATTTCCTCAAAATGTTTTAGACAAGTAGTACTACTACTACTACTACATTTCACTGATGAAGCATGGGTGTATTTTGAAGGTGTCTAATTTCGACAAATTGACAGTATGGCTATAAGTAATCCTTCAAAACCGTTGTTGGATTACGCTAACATAAGACATGTTGGAATTTTCTCCAGAGGCAAAATTACCAGACTTCTTCAGTGTTGTAGCAGGTATATTGGTGAGGACTTAGTGACATACAACAGGCTTATCTGTGGGGGTGCCTGTACAGCATGTAAAGGCTTTTAGACATACCACGTGAAGTGAACAATGATTTTATCAACCTATTCTAGACAAACTATTGAATAGAGGAATAAATGAGGTGACTAGAAAATAATCTGATATGAATCCTTTTTAGATGTGGCAGTGTTTAAATTTCTGCAACTGTCTTCTGCTGCTCTTTTAAGATAACTTAGGATATCTACATACCGGACACGGTAGAACAGAAAATCAGACTGTTTATTTAGACATTACTGAAAAACTCATATTCCTTGAAGTTCATGAATGTGTACAGACTGATTTGTTGTTCATATCTATTCAACATTTTTTGTCGAGAAAATGAAATGTAGGTCATGCTAGCACATGGCAAGGAGTCGAATAGTTTGGTATTATAATGGAAATTAAATTTAGTTACAGCATGGACTATTTTGCATCCCATTTGACTATCTTCGGGAAGCTAGAATGCATTTACCAACATAAACCTCAGCACTTAGTTATAGACTGCGCGACGATTCTCTATATTTAGCAATTTATATATGTGTGTGGAGATATGTCAAGGACAGAAAAGAAGCTGTCACGTCGAAGGTGATAGAAAATTGTTCGAAAAAGTATAAAAAAAGTGTAGTAGGTGGTTAAACAGTCTGATATTGGTCTTCGCTTTACTTAGAACAGCAACTTCGTTCAACAGTAAGTATCAACAGAAATATGTAACTTGAATAAGTTGTTTATCGTTAAATTTTTATTAATTTGTTAGATTTAACACACAGTGAAGGAACAGTATTGTTTACTGGATTACGTTTCGGACATAATTTATTGTTCATAGTCATATCAAGATAACTATACAACTTTCAGTTGTAGTAGTCCAAATTTCCTCGTCTCTTTGTGAGATGGGCAGTAGGATTTTACATATATATCCGGAACAGGTACTGAGTCATTCCTGTTGCTGCATGTGTTAGATATTGATTCGATAAACAACGACTCAGTTATCAATCTCTCCTTCAGCCTGTCCTATCCTATTGTGTGATTGTGTGTAATTGCATGCATAGCTATGGCTGAACTTTTTTCTAAATTGCTTGCCCTACTAGGATCTACCACTTTTGACCTAGGTAAGTTTTAGTGCTCCGATAGCCTAATTAACCCTGGTCGACTACTTTGACCTATGTATTTGACACCGCAATTGTTGCAGGGGATTTGGTAAACTAAGTTATTCTGCTTAATTAGATCAAGAGGATCTTTTAACCTACAAAGCCTATTTCGAAGTGAGTTTGTAGGGTTAAATGCCAATTTAATCTCAGCCAGTCTTATTGAGAATTCTACGTAGTATTTCTGAGGTGACTTCTTTGTATGGTAATACTGTGAAGGTTTTGAATTTTCTGTTCACAGTACTTCCCCTACTATTATTAACATCACTATCAACACCATTATTACTATTAATGTTGCTGTTATTATCACTATTACTACTACTATTGATAATTGCGTTACTGATATTTTTCCTATAATTCCTAGGGAGCTTATCAATTAATTTGGGAGGGTAATTGTTAGTGGTTAAGATGTGTTTAATCTATCCAGTTTCTTGTTTTAGATCTTCTGTTTTATGAGCAAGTTTTTTGACCCTGTTACTAAGACAGTTTACTAAGCTAACTTTAACCGACAAACAGTGAGACGATTTAAAGTATAAGTAATGGTTTAATAATATGAAGGTTTTCTGTAGACACTAGTGACTAAACTCCCATCTTGTTTCCGTTTTATTCGGCGACCCAACATTGTTAACACTTCTTCACTATTTTCTAATTCATAGGTGAATTGGATTGCGTTGACTACTGAATTTGTATGTGCAAAGAAATTATGTATGCGCTCCGATTTCAAAACATTATTAAGTGACAATGAAAATAAATTTTATTATTTATAATCATATGCATATTTCAATGAAACGCTTAACCATTATTTCGAGTGATAATTAGAGTTCAAAAACATTCTTTCGATTGATGAAGAAAGATATATAAACACGGCGTAGTCAAGAATTTCGAATCAAAATGTGTAGTAGGTGGTTAAACAATCTGATATTGGTCTTCGCTTTGCTTAGAACAGCAACTTCATTCAATAGTAAGTATCAACAGAAATATATCACTTCAATAAATTATCAATATTTATTGATATATTCGTAATTCTCCATTGTTCTGTTGGTTCGAACTGTTCAACCTCTATTGGTAAATGGGCTCCTATGAGGTCTTCGACAGCGTCAACCGAAAAGTAATTTGACAGGCAACTGTTTCAACACTACGAAATACCGCAAACATTTATCAATCTCATTCAACAACTATATCAAGACGTCACATGACAAGGAATTCACAATGGGAAGCTCAGTGTTACCTTTGAAGTGAAGATGGGAATGAAACAAGACAGTCTACTATCACAGATGATCTTCATGATTGTAGTGGACTGGATCATGCAGCAGACAACAGTGAGGAGCGAGAAGAGGGTGATACTCTGGACTGCGGAAAAGAACACAGAAGATTAAGATTTCGCCGACGACTTGTGTCTGATGTCTTGTCACACAAACTTGAAGATGTACAGGCGAAAAGTAAAAGTTGACAGAAGAGGGGAGGCAGGGCAGAGAAGGAAGACGGGACTTCAAGTGAATGTAGCGAAGACACAGGTGATGAAGATACCCAACCAACACCACCACCACCACCACCACCACCACTACCACCACCACTACCACCATCAACAACAACAAGCACCAATCACCACCAACAGCAGAAACTTAAACGAAGTACCCCACTTCACCTACCCACGTTGGCAGCATCGTTTCAACTACAGGCGAGGACATCAAAGCAGACAGGACAAGAAAAACAGCAAGACAGACCTTCAGAAAACTGAAACCAGTATGAAGATCTTCTGCACTCCACCCAGCATAAAGCGTGAACAACATACGGATTCTCAACACTAATTCAGTGAAGTCAGTGCCTCCATCTGATGCTTGACAGAATTGGCATGTCACGAAAGGCATTTCCAACAAATTATAGACGTTCGTCAACAACTGCCACCTACGCTGCCTCGATACTGAAGATTGATCGGACTGCCAGAATAATGAGTATAAGCAACAAGGAACTGTGGCTGGCTGGTTGGCTGGCTGGCTGGCTGGCTAGCTGGCTGGCCATCTGCCAACGAACCAACCAACAACCTATCAGTCAACAAATATGCAGTGGAAGGAAGTGGAGATGGATTGGATTGGATTGGATTGGGCATTCACTGAGAAGATCATTCGGGGATATCACGCGTCAGGTCAGTCCGTCGAGTGGGACTCAGATGGGAAATGACGAGTTGGGTGTCGCTGTTGCTGTGATATGGAGGAGATCGTGTCAGTGAGGAATAAATGAGAGTTTGTTGGTTGATGTGGAGCGATGTTGAAAAGATTGCAGAGGCTAGAGTGGAATGGAGAGGTGCTGCTGAAGCTGTATATTTCCCTAGGAACCCAAGAGACAAATAATGATGATGATAATGATAATAATAATAGAAATAATGGGGATACCTGGATTTTGCCTGAACGTTAGTAATTATATTTTACTTGGTTATGGCTAGCAGAAGAGGAAATTGTTTGTTGCTAAGTGACATAGAAAATATATTTGCTATTCGTAATTGAACGACAGAATGTAAAATTCATTTCTAAATTTTTGAAGAGAAATTACTCTGGCTCATCTAATTCCATGTTGTTTTGTTTGTTGTATATTGGACACAATAGGACGGTAGTATTTACTAGATGATGTCCTGAACAAAATTTATTTTTTACATTCATGTTTTCTAGGGTAAGTCTAGGATTTTGGTATACTGTTCTTCTGGTGCTATTTCTCCCGCTGCTTAATTTGTAGCACGGGTAGTAGAATTATCTAGATATCTAAAACTTGTGTTGATTCATTCTTGTTAATGCGTCTCACGTTGATTGGATAAGCAAAGATTTGGTTGTCAATCTCTCCTACCACCCCACTAGGTTAATTTTCCGAACATCATTCTACTTCGTTGTGTCTAGCAATACTTTGTGATCTGAGGAAGCGCTGTTATGAATCCAACATCAACTTTCTGAAGCACTCTGTGAAATCAGGTGTCGAATCTTCATTTCTTATTGTTACGGTAATTTGTATGCATATTTTCTATCTGTCTCTGAAATGGCGGAGAATATTTGTAGCTCAGGTGGATGGTCTTGTTTGTATCGTGTTCTCCATGCTGAGTCGTCGAGATCTCATCGTCTTTCCAGACAACATTATCAGCAATAACTTCAGTATGAAGTGAGCTATCAATATCTCTCCATGAGGGATTTAGTGACTTGCTCTGACAAACTGGCTTGCGATTGGTTGTTTCCTTTGATTGTTGTGTCATCGATGGACTGTATAGAATTCCCTGTTGGCTGGGCGTTCCCCTGCTTCACCTTTCACCTTTCTGTCGTTTATCATTTTGCTCATTGGTTGATAGATCGGGTCTACGTCTATACATCCATTGACTGCTGACTGACTGACCTGAATGTCAAGCTTCTAAGAATTCACTGAATTTCTTTGTGCTATCTTTGTCCAAAATTTCTACATTTTGAAAATTGAATTTATGCCTATAGTTATTCAAGTGTATTGCAATGAGTGATGAAATGTCGTGTGTGACATTTAATAGCCAATTAGTATTCATGTAGACATTCAGGTCAGTCAGTCAGCAGTCAATGGATGTATAGACGTAGACCCGATCTATCAACCAATGAGCAAAATGATAAACGACAGAAAGGTGAAAGGTGAAGCAGGGGAACGCGCAGCCAACAGGGAATTCTATACAGTCCATCGATGACACAACAATCAAAGGAAACAACCAATCGCAAGCCAGTTTGTCAGAGCAAGTCACTAAATCCCTCATGGAGAGATATTGATAGCTCACTTCATACTGAAGTTATTGCTGATAATGTTGTCTGGAAAGACGATGAGATCTCGACGACTAAGCAACTCATCATAGAGAACACAATACAACCAAGGTTGTCCGTCTGTATTATGTATCTTTTTTCCTCAAAATTTCACATCTCTGGATTATTTTGTGAGGATTATTATTGAGTGTGAGGGTTGCTTTAATATGTCATATTTGCTATCGTAGATTTTCGGTTTTATTTTCCTCCGTTATCTACACACTTCACCAAAACTGTTTTAACTAATATGAAGTGAGATAGCTTAAAGTCTAGCTATGATTGGCATGGGTAAATTTTCTGTAAACACTAGAATATTGGAATCCAATATTATCTCCATTTTATTCTAAATTCCATTGCAATTAGTCCTCATTCATCATGCCCTATTTCATCGGTAAACTAAACTTCACGTACAACTGAATTCCCGTCTGTAAAAATCTAATCAACATGTTCTGTCTTTAACACAGTAAATATGTCTACCATTTATCTCTTTTAATTTCAGGTATTTGTTACTACAGATTGGATGAAGGTCCATGTAGAGCTTTGGTGCCACGGTATTTTTACAATTCAACTGTTGGAAAGTGTGAGATGTTCAAATATGGTGGTTGTGAAGGAAACGAAAACAACTTCTTCACTGAAGAAGAATGCAATAAAACTTGTGAAAAAAAGTGAGACAAATCCAATATGAAGATATTTTGAAAGCTACCAATTTTGTTTCTGAAACAGTTTCGTAAATAGCGTGGAAAACATTATTTTAAAATGCAGATGGTTTCCAGAGTGTTTATTATTATTATCATCATCATTATTTGTCTCTTGGGTTCCTAGGGAAATATACAGCTTCAGCAGCACCTCTCCATTCCACTCTAGCCTCTGCAATCTTTTCAACATCGCTCCACATCAACCAACAAACTCTCATTTATTCCTCACTGACACGATCTCCTCCATATCACCAGCAACAGCGACACCCAACTCGTCATTTCCCATCTGGGTCCCACTCGACGGACTGACCTGACGCGTGATATCCCCGAATGGTCTTCTCAGTGAATGCCCAATCCAATCCAATCCAATCCATCTCCACTTCCTTCCACTGCATATTTGTTGACTGATAGGTTGTTGGTTGGTTCGTTAGCAGATGGCCAGCTAGCCAGCCAGCCAGCCAGCCAGCCAACCAGCCAGCCACAGTTCCTTGTTGCTTATCCTCATTATTCTGGCAGTCCGATCAATCTTCAGTATCGAGGCAGCGTAGGTGGCAGTTGTTGACGAACGTCTATAATTTGTTGGAAATGCCTTTCGTGACATGCCAAGTCTGTCAAGCATCAGATGGAGGCACTGACTTCACTGAATTAGTGTTGAGAATCCGTATGTTGTTCACGCTTTATGCTGAGTGGTTAATGAAGGTGTGTCTTGCTGTTTTTCCTGTCCTGTCTGCTTTGATGTCCTCGCCTGTAGTTGAAACGATGCTGCCAACGTGGGTAGGTGAAGTGGGGTACTTCGTTTAAGTTTCTGCTGTTGGTGGTGATTGGTGCTTGTTGTTGTTGATGGTGGTAGTGGTGGTAGTGGTGGTGGTGGTGGTGGTGTTGGTTGGGTATCTTCATCACCTCTATCTTCTCTACATTCACTTGAAGTCCCGTCTTCCTTCGCCGCCCTGCCTCCCCTCTTCTGTAACTTGTTACTTTTCGCCTGTACATCTTTGAGTTTGTGTACACGCTTTACTTAATTACAGCGATTATTTTATTCGCCTTGTATTCGGCTTCAGTACAGTTAGAAGAGGTAGAAATCACTTGCAGGAAGAGGTCAGAACAAAACATTATTTTATTTTGTTCTGTTTTTGTTTTTATTGTTCAAATAGTAAGAAGTAGTCATGAATTTTAACAAAGGTTTCAGGTTTTTTTCCTGAACATCAATCGCAGCTAAACACCCTGGAAATTTGTAATGATTGAGATCAAATTGTGACCCATTTTCGGATATGTACTTAAAAATTGCATCGAATTTTAATGCTGATCATACATTTAAGGAATAGGTTCATTTCGATATATCCATCAAGGTATAAACTCCTTTAAAGTTGATAATGAACTAAATTCTTCACATGAACTACAGTCGAATAAATGCAGCATGTTGTATCTGTATGGTTTTAAAGTTCTTGATTACTAGTGATTCAACTGTCCATAGTATGAATTCTTATATATTTTTAATATTCCTTTCAGTAAACCATTCGATAGGAGTAAGTCTAATAATCAGAAAAGTTGATTATTCACACTTACTCAATTTAATTGTTCTCATTTATGAAATAATTACAGTTATCAGTAACGAATGTTCCTATAATTCCCTCTGATCAACAGGCTGGCCTCTCTTTAAATGTTCCGCCTTAAAATACGAAAACTTTTTATGTCAGTGTAATCTTGAAATATTCTGCTGCCTGCTTGAACTATTTAGCTACCGTATCTATCCATTGAACATTTTCTATCAAATTCTTTCCTTTCAATTTGTTTTAATCATTTAAATATGTCCTATGAATGTATCATGTACTCTTGTACAATTTTTAAACTATTTCCCAACTCTTCATTTCTCAACTCAATAACAAAACAGAGAAAAAAAATGCTACATTATATGGAAATGAACTTTTCGGTGCAAAAAAGTACATTATATTTCTATCCGTTAGATGCTTTACTTGGATTGAAGATTTTTGTACCGTTTGAATGAACCACTACCACCAAAATTACGCTTACATTTCTGTTGACTCTTTATTATGAACCCGAAGTTCATCCGGAACCAGTTGGCCATTTCACGTTATTGCCTTGAATACTGTTATTATTAACATCATTCTGATAGAATAACTGTTTCGTCTGAAAGTATTGTTGGTATGGGAGTGAATTTGTTGAAAAATTACATGCTGAGAATTCCATACTGTCATGCATATTCCTTGGAATAAAGTGATTATTATTATTGTTATTATTAAAGTAAACAAGTCTTGAAACTATCATTATTATCTGTTGTTATACTGGGTCGAATTGTTTGACCTCTATTGGCCTATGGGCTCCTCTGAGGATTCCTGGATATTACCTGAATAGTTGTTGTGGTGAGTTACTTGGTTTTGGCTAACAGAAGAATTCAGGACGTGCGTTTCGTTTTAATTGGGACTCGTCAGCTGGATGTACCTGCACCCTAGTGAGTGATGTTATTCCCACTGAGGCTCGAACCTCATACCCATCATTTCATACACCGAAGCGTTATCCACTATGCCACGTAGGCACGACAACCGCCTCTTGAAACTGTTTAAGTGAAATTCACAATACTATTTATTCTTCTCACAATTGTCTCATCCACAACTATGATGTCAGCGGAAGTATCAACATATTGCATTACGAGTGCACAACTCTCCTTTTGATTCTTTAACTAGCATATAGCATCACTAGAGGTTAAACTACAGTGAGTTTTAGTGAAAATTCTAGGGAATCTTTGTTTCTGTCAGTAAGTGTGTCACGTAAGTTGACGACAGCACTATTGTTGTACTCCAGATACGTTTTCACTATCACGTTTTCATGTTTAATCGTGTAAAATTGATTTTTATACTATGATATATCCGAATGCCGCACACTGAAATAGTTGATTATTACCTTTATATCTCTTTTCAATTTTAGATGATTGTAAACTACCTGAAGATCCTGGTATATGTAGAGCTATTTTCATCCGTTATTTCTACAATATAAGTTCAAACAAATGTGAAAAATTTAGTTACGGAGGTTGCTTAGGCAACAGAAATAGATTTGAAAGTTTGGAAGAGTGTAAGGCTAAATGTGAAACACAGTAAGTTTGATATCACCTTCTATTAAAAGAACATCGAGTCGTTTTACAAAAAAGCATCCATTATAACTGCTCTAATCTTAGCACTACGAAAGTACATACACTATAACTATTGTGTTACGTTTCTCAAAATAAGGATGATTGTTAGTGGACGGTTAACTGGCCGGTTCTAAGCCCGGGTAAAGAGGGAAGGTTGGGCATAGGGCTAGCAACCCTACCCCAGAAAACCAATCCAACCGCTACAGAAACTTCAAAGTATAGACAAAATATAAAAAATAAAAACGAACTTATTCTTCGCTGGAATCGGAGAGGCAAATGACGCCAGTTGGTGAAAGCCTTTGGGAAGTCAATTGGCCGATGTGTCTTCTCTCTCTCTATGATATTGAAAGTAAGGACGGGGACATAGAATGTCTGTACAATGTTTGAAGCTGGCTGGCTGGTAAGGCTGCCCAGATTGCAAAGGAGAAATGAAGGTATAGCACTGAAGTCCTAGGAATCTGTACTCGATTAGAACCAGATGAGAAACGACGAGTTGGGTGTCGGTGCCAAGGGTGACATGAAGGAGATGATGTGAAGAAGAAATGAGAACTTGTGAGGAGTTATGGAGTGAGGCTGAAAAGATTGCAGAGGCTAGAGTGAAATGGAGACATGCTTTTGAATCCCTATGTTCCACTAGGAACCCAAGGGACAGTGTGCATGCGAATACACTTCATCAGTACCACTGAATTTGGAAGTTGTAGAAAGTTGTATTTCCGATTCAAAAGTATTCTGTCAAAAATTTATGTCTGCAATCGAAAAACCAAGTACGCGAATAATGCTTTATTAATGATACGCTATACAGATCCCTTAAAGTTTCATTACGAACTATTCACTGTAGTAAACAGAGGATGTCAAAATATTATCCTCTGAGAAACTACTTCCTTATCTCATTAGGTACTTGACAAGATGTTAACAAGAGTCAAACGTTAAGAGACTAATAAATGAAAAATTTAATTGCATTTTAGATATCTTTGTAGCTAAATGATACACTGTCCGACAGGAACGCTCCCCTCAAGTAAAGAATTATGGATTTGCGTGATTCTGTCCTCAGACTAAGCAGAACTACATAACTAATAAACCTGACAATCTGTATAAATACTTTACCAATTTGCATAACTAACAGTAATTTTCATAAAGATGCTGGGTGATAGAAATGTTATCTTGAAATGAACAATGGAGTAAAAGGATTACAAAGTTATCAGGTCATTTGGTTGAATGGTATAACATGGTGATGAAACTAATTCCTTGAAATCATTAACTATTTATCAAAAAATCACTGTCCTTTCCTTAATTTTCAAATTATTTATTGCGTTTGCATAGTCTTCGAATGGTACGGTAAAGGATAGTACATATTGGCTTACATCTTGTGATTTTTAGGGCATTCTTGTGACCACAGGACACTAAAAGTCGATAAATGTAGCTTAAACAATCGTGTGGAGAATCACACTTATTTAACTTAGTAAGTGAAATCTGTTTGAAGCTTGTTAAAGAATAGTTTACGTTGAAGACATAGAGGGACGCTTTCCGCTGAAATTCTACTTTCGAATGTGTGCTACTTTCTCGGATATTATCTTCTCAAACTTGTTTATTCTTGTTATGCTATGTAATGCTTTCTTCTGTTGTTAGAATTGGTCGCTCATTGTATCCTGAATGTAAGTCTTCATACTCTCTGTTTAGTTGTAAATCTTAGGTTACTTTGACGTTGAATTCAAGTCATTTCTGAATTAATGTGATAACCAGTGTTATTCCCTTTCTCCATAGTTTTTTTTAATACTGATCACTGGCTAAAGGTAAACAGTGAAGGAATGATGATGTTTCGGTTACTTCCACACTGAATCTTTGAAAACGTCTTACACTGTCATTTTTTGATCTTTGAAGTTTTGGTTGAAGTTAGGCCTCTTGAAATAAAAGAGCTTACGGCATTTTGAACTGATCCTAACTTAAATTAGGAGCTGTAGAGAAAATAACACATCAGAGTGCTTAGGCAGCTCCGAATAATTCCAATGCAGTAATTATATAAGCCAGGCCTTTGAGTGGAATCCCAAGGGGAAACGACGAGTTAGGTGTCCAATTCGAGGGTGACATGGAGGAGATAGTGTGAGGAAGAAATGAAAGCTTGTGGGCAGTCATGGATCCAGGTTGAAAAGACTGCAGAGAAGAGAGTGGAATGGAGACATGCTACTGAAGCCCTCTGTTCCACTAGGAATCCAAGGGAAAAACAATAATAATAATAATTACATAAGCTAGTAAAATTACAGATGAAAGTTTAGTAAATAAAAGGACAAAGTTGAAAGGTAAAGCAATAAAACAACTTGTTTCAAAGATTTGGACTAATGGAAGTTCATCTCAAACAACTAACACCTGCAAATATAGGAATGACTTATAAGTATGGAAGCAATAACGGACTCATAAATACATGAATAGATCAGAAACCCAAGATTTAAAAAAGCGCACAGAAAAGATTTCACAAGATAAATTGCTATAACATTGACAATTATTGACAGTACTATGCTTTGGAAATTTGCACCAGAAGGACTTAATTTTCAAATAAGTATAACATTGGTTTGAAATATCATTTGCGTCATAACTCAGGATTGTTACTTATTGTTCTTCTATGTCTCATTTCATTTAGCACCTCCGGAAAGTGAGTTTGAATACTGTTTTAACTCATTGTTAAAAGATGCTTACAAACTACATTTTGGTAGGCCTTTATACATTTTAGTAGCGGTCAAACTGTTATCCATCTTTCCATATATACGAATAAACAAAGAGACAAGAACCACCGTCAATTTGATGAAATACAAGTTTTCCACCAGTTTGTATGTTAACCTTGACACTCAGTAAGTGACTAGGAATTATCTCATATAATACTGTATGATTTATGCCATGAAATGGAGGCAGCCATACAATTTTGGAATTAGATTGAGATTTATCCCCAAAATTCCTTCTACTTTTTCATACGAAAGTCTATTGAACTTCCTAGAAATCTCTAACAAACGCTGAGCTATTCCAGTCTCATTCATTCCGTTTACACTCTACGACCAAAGTTCTATTTGTGGAGGTGTTAGTATCTGGATAAGATAACCTATCAAACCACAGGTCTTTGCATTTTCAACGTGTGACGATATGTGTTTGTCTTGGCCAAAATGACAGTTTTCTTCCTGATGAAGCGTCATCATTGTTTGTGTTAACTGAGTATCCGGACTAAATGAGATGCATTGGCCTATCGCTTTTCTATTTATGTACTGCCTTATGTTGAGTTTCGCTCAATATATTCAAGTTTAGAGACTACGACTTCAAAAGATGCACTTTCGTGACACGTACTACGTTGATTTCCTGACTATCCATGTGCCTGACTGTGACAAAATTTCATTGAAGGGATACAACACCACACAAGGACTCAGAGGTTATTATATTTACGTGCCAATCTGAAAAGTGGTCCCTCAACTCATTAACAACACGGATTTAAACATTTATAGATTGCTGAAAGCCAATTTTACCGACTCAGTTAGATTTCTGAAAAGAATATCTAATATATTAGACGCAAAATTTAACTTTCAAGCAGAAATGTACAGATGGTTCATGTGCTCACATAATCCACAAAAATAGGAGGAATTTGCTCGAGAAATGACTGTCAAATCGAAAAAGTATCTATCTTGGAAATTCAGAATGACTAATAATGATCAGGATGAAAGTGTATGCAGCAGATCTCTCCATAGGAGGACAAAACCCATGCACAGGATTCCACGGACAGACATCACCAAATAGAACCAAACTGATCGACACATTCCTATGATTCCTTCAGTGATTAGCGAATACTAACCACTTGAACACTGTAAATAAACCATAAGGGACATCAAGTCACATTCACTGCATTTCGATGCATATAATGTCCAGCATTATCAATTATCATCTCGTCTACCGACCAACAATTCCACAATTAAAATGCTGCTGGTATCTAACATTTGATTTGTTGCATAAACCTGTCTCATTATCTCTTGTTTGCATTCTGTAGGAACTACGGAAAGTGAGTTGTTTGAATGTTGCTTTAGCTCATAGTAAAATGACCTGAGGTTTGTTTTAAATAAGTTTCATTTAGTAGAGTGTTGAGACATTTTGAAAGTGGTTGAGATGTCATGCATTTATGCATGTGCACGGATATACGCAGGCACATGAGTGTTTGTTACTTTGACGGAATACGGGTTTTCTGTGAGTTTGTATATTGAGCATGTCAGTGAGTAAGTGAGTAATGGATAGTAATCTGATAATACTGTGTAATCTTCACAGTTAAAGATGGACTGTAATGTTTTGAGTTTTTAACTTCCTTTTTTCAATTTGGTTGTTTTTATAGACATGGATAAATTTTTATGCTTACTCTTGTTCACTATTAATGACGCTTGAATGTTTTAATTGTAACTGTTTGTTAAAGTTTAATTTTTTCAAATAGGAAAGATAACAAGCCACTTGGAGAATGTCATTATTCTAACATCCAAACATCCCATTGAGAAACATATCCTGTAGTCTTCTTAAAGAATCTCCAGTATGGCTGACGTAAGGAATGTGGGCTTCATAAATTTGTCTCTTTTTCAAGGCATAGTGGATTACACTCCTTGAAACATCACTTAACAGTCTTTACCAAATCAATGTAAACCTATCGAAATATGCACGCCTACGCCTACTTTGTACTTTAAAAGTCTGGGCTTCACATTTTCTTAAACCAGATGTCCAGAAAATGAAACACTTTTTACAGTTTTCTTTCATTTTGTTTCAAGTATCTGATCAAACTGACCACATATTTTACAAAACTAGTTCTTCATCATCCCTTTTCACTTACGTTTTCATCACACTGTGACGGTTTCTTATTTAACTAATTAGTTTTTTCTGTTTGATGGCTTACCTAACTACATTTGTTTCGACTGATAATCACATTTCTAACTTGTTATAATCTTCAACCAACAACGAAATTTCTTCGCTCACTTGGCTTCCTTGTTTCCGTGACCTGTAATCTCCCACAGCGTTCGGTTGATTTATCTATAGATGATAGTGATAGCTGACGGTGAAATGAAAAACAGTGTTGAGGTAACATCTGAATCCGAGGTCTCTGAACTAGTTACTAGATCTTCTGCCGAGTGACCCACAAGATCTATCTGCTAGCTAAGGGGTAACCACACTTCAGTCACGGAGATATCTTCCTGTTTATCATGTAAATACATGATATGGAACGGTGCACTGATCATCAGTATATTAGCTGCGTAACCAGATCTTCCCTCCCTAATTCAAACTGAGGCTTATGGAAGGTAGGAGTTCGTCAGCACTGGATCTCGCAGCTAAGTTGGTAAACAGTCGAGTAGGTAATCCTGAGATCAGTAGTTTTAATCTTATTGTGATCAGGCTTTTATTTCAAGCTCACTCAACACATTGGAACGTCAAGCATACCAGTCTGCTAAAGCATGGTTATCCTACATACTTTAATGAATAATTACTTCAATGAATCATGAAACATCATACTTATCCATACTGATGCACTTCACTAATACACTCATAATAAAAATGCCACAAATGTACAGTAGCAAATGTATTGCGTGAAGATGGAGCTATATTGTAAATTGGCAGATGCAGGAGAAGATAAACGACTTGATATTTGCCGAATCGTTCTATGGTAGCATGGTCACCACGAAACCTCAAACTCCTGCGTTCCTTGTATGACTGGACCATGAGTGTGAACCTAGGAAAAATTCCATACTAGGTTGAATCAAATGTTGAATACCATCAGGTTGTCAATAGTTTTCCAAGTCATATCAGTCCATGGTTAAACACACCCTAAAATGTAACTATCCACTGATTTTCACTTGGTGACTGACATTATGAAAAATACTGGGTGATGATTGGGGGTGAGACGAAAATCTGGGGCGAGGCCGGACTCTAACCAGCGACCATTCTACCCGGTGAGGCGACCACCAGGTAGAGTCTCACCTCCAATCATCACCCAGTATAAATACTAGTCTGCCAAACTAAGGGTATCTCAGATAGTCAAATGATAATTATGAAAAATGATTCTGAACTACGAAACCCGTGGACAGCATCCAACTATATATCTTTCAAACCGATGTAGTAATTTAGTAGGAACAGATACTGCTCTGTCGTTTGATTTGGTATACTGTAGTGGAATGCTAAACATGCTGTCCCATAAATGAAGAGTTTTAAATGTCATAAAACTCAGTTTTTCGTAAACTGGTTGTACTTCAAGTTGGTATTAATCATATACTGACATCGGTTGGAGGGACAATGGAAACCTGGGAGCACTGGACAGCTGTTTCGTCCTAGTATGGGATTCCTCAGCAATGCGCACCCATGACCCTACCAGGTAAGGAACCCGCGAGAGGCGATTCCCGAAGTTCCAGTGAGAATTCGTGACCAGTGGGGCAAACCTGGTAGTTGTGAGGACAATTACTCAAGGATAACACTAGGTGGCACTCTCTGTATGTCATGAACTAACAGAAGTAGGAAATATGGACTTGGAGGTCACGGGTTCGATCCCTGATGGCGTCATGGCTGTGCACTACTGAAGCTATCAAATGCCCCCAGGTTTCCAGTGTTCCTCTAACTGATGTCAGTCTACAATGAATACCAACTTAAAATATCTCTAAATCCCATAACCTCCCCTACAAATTCGCTTAAACTGTTCGTAGTTTGCTTTATCCTGACAGTCAGCTATCATAATGACAATCATAGTCAAGATTCAACCAGACAATTTAACGATTATTAGACGTCCAGTGAAAAATACAAGTTTTGTTTGTATAAATCTCAACATGTTTGGAAGAGAATAATTCCAACGTTTGATATGGAATGTAGTTCTAAGATTTTTCAAATTTCTGTCCAAAAAATGTAGTTTTTTGTGAATCTACTGTAAATTGTAAAGATAATTTTGTTATATTTATTTCATTGATCTTTTTTATACCCTTTTAAAGAGATACCGGACACAAGTACAGAAGAAAAAAGAAACTTAACCTACCAACAAGAATATTTATCGGTTTATTACATACTAAAAAAATGTTATCAAATTTATTCAGTAGGTTTAAAGGATGAATGAATAAATGTGACTGAATTTGCACATGAGAGAATACGTATGGTTTGTACGGTATTCTGAAGAGAATATTATTATTTAAGATTAACTATATGTAATATTTTCATTCTTCAATTTGTTTTTAACTCACTTCATCTTCAAACCACTGAAAGATTGAAACTGTTAACTTCTAATGTGAATAAATGTTAGACATGTTATCTCTAATTTTTTGACTATAATTCCAACATTTGTGTAATTGTAATAAACGATATTTACACATGAAGCTTTCTTATGAATCTACTAATCTGTGAAGATTTTTCTCCTCAATCAATCATTTATGTGTGTATAAGTTTTAATAACTTGAAAACAAGATAGAAAAACAGAGAAGTTCAGCGAAGAGTTGCTCTTTTTTGCATCTATATCATTCTGAAGCCATACAATAGCATATAACTAAGTATTTCACTTACTTGACAACAGAAAACGAATTTTTTATATAATATTTTTAAGAAAATCCTACTCAGCTTTCGTTAGAAATTAGGATCTTAGAAAACCAACTACAGAAAATATGAGAAAGTAATTGGGAAAAGTTTATTTGATTTATATCACACAGTGATATACTATTATTTACTTGATGACGTTTCCAGTATCAATTAACATTGCTCATTATCATTATTAATGTAATAATACTACTTTAGATATCTGAATTTTATAGTCTTGTCACCTCATGTTCTTTGTTAAAGTGTTGTGTCATCTTTACTACATGTGTTGAGTTGGGTGTTGATTCGATGAACAAGGATTCAGTAATCAATCTCTTTCAATATCCATTTTATTACATTGAACTTAATTACAGTAGTTTTATCCCACCGAGTATACTGTGTGGTTGAGTGTTAATACATACGCTGGAATAGCCGAATGTTTTTTCAAAATTATTGACCCTATTGGGGTCTGTCATTCTTTATTTAGCTAAATGCCTATGTTCGGCTATTCTAACTGAACCCAACCGACTTGTTTGACGCATACACTTGACCTCACAGTCATTACATAGAATTTGATAGATTGGATTATTTTGCTTAATTGGTTCTATCGGATCCTTAAGCCAGCCGACAAAGTTTACCGCTGAGTGAGTTTGTAGGTTTAAATGTCACCCTACTTCCTATGTAAAGTTTCTGATGTACCTTCCTTACTGGGTAACACAATGTAGACTGTTATTTTTGCGTTTCTCGCGTGTTCATACGAATTTCTTGATAAACTGCGGAGGATAATTATTAACTATCAGCGCTTCTTTCACGTGTTTCAATTCCTTGTTTAAATCTTTGCACTGACTAGTCAGTTTTCTAACTCTATCAGGTAGACATTTGACTAAACCTGCCTTAACTGACATTGGATGAAATGACTTGAAGTCTAGATCACCTGTTAGAATGTGTCGGTTTTCTGTAGACGGTAGTATCCATAGAAATTTAGCTGAATATAGAATGACAGACCCCAATAAGATCAATAGTCTTAAAAAAAACATTCGGCTATTCTAGCGTATGTATCAATACACAACCACACAATATAGTGGTGGGTAGGATAAAACTATTGTACTTAAGTTCAATATAATTAGATAGATACTGAGAGAGATTGATTACTCAATCTTTGTTCATTGAACCAACACCCAACCCGACACATGTAATAGAAATGACGCAACACCTATACCAGAGATATGGAAAACTTTACTATCAATGAAAGCAAATAATATCAGGCGACAGAACTATGAAAATCAAATGTCGAAAGTAGTGTGATTACACATTGATATGATTATGAGCAGTGATAATTTCTGCTCGGAACTTCATCAAGTAAATAGTACTAGATCACTGTATGTTATAAATCAAACGAACAAATCTAAAATGCAATTAAATTCTATCACAATGCCTTAGTTTTACACCTTTATTTAATGAGATCGTAGCAATATTAAATTGTTATTGAGATGAATGGGGATTTTTAATTTAGAAGTTGGGGAACCATTGAAAATCTGGGATCACTGGACAGCTGTTTCGTCCTAGTATGGGACTCCTCAGCAGTACGCACTCATGACCTAGCTAGGGATCGAATTCAGGACCTTCAGGTTCCACCGCGAATGCGTTAACCGTTCAGTCTTGAGTTCGATCCCTAGCTGGGTCATGGATGCGTACCGCTGAGGAGTTCCATACTAGGACGAAACAGCTGTCCAGTGCTCCCAGATTTTCAGTGGTTCCCCAACTGATGTTAGTTCATGATGAATACTACTTCTAAACTAAATTATCAAGTTGAATGATGCAATGTGATTAATGTTGATGAATGTAGTGAGAAATCAGAATTTTGAATATGAAAGAATGTGATATATGGGAAAACGTAATATCTTAGTTAGTTAGTAGGAGAAAGGAGAGATTATTGGAGTCAAATGCTTTTCCAAGTAAAGTTTATTGGAAATGAAACTTCTTTTCAATGCAGAATTTAGCCTTCAAAATATGAATTGTCATGACTCAACAGTTTGAAGAATTTTCAGGCGTATACATTTCAGATGGATAACAAGAACTTTATATGTGACCCTGATAGTGTGAGAAACATAATTCACCTCCGAAAAAACTCAGTTTTCTAGCACAATATGCTGTTGTTTATGGATTTCATATTCAGTTTGCTGAAAAAAACCTCAACGTGAAAATATCCATTTTATTCTTCAGTTTATTTTCTTATAAATGTAGCTATAATGTGTTTACGAATTGTTCACAAGCGCAGAAATACTATTCATTACTTTTACGGAAATCTTTCACCTTTGTGTTATATTTACTTAGGATATTGATAGCTAATAGAAGGTTTTGTGCGCGTTGGTACTTGTCAATAAGGCGTATCTGAAAGCTTGAGGGAACTGAAGTCACATTGAGTTATTCAAGCCTCCATGGACTTCATGTAAGACTGGGTTTGATATAATGACTGGTCACTGAAGAGCAATCAAGTTAATGTTGTCTAGTATTGAGTGCCTAACCTCGCCTAGATAACTAGTTCACTAATTACTAGCCAGTCCTAAGCCCGGATAAAGGGGGAAGGTTGCGCATAGGGCTAACAACCCTACCCCGTAAGACCAATCAATCGCTAAAGAAACCTCAGAGCACAAAAAATATGAAAATAAAATTATTCCTCGCTGGAATCGGAGAGACGAACTGATGACGGTTGGTAAAAGACTTCGGGAAGCCAGTTGGCCAATGTGTCTTCTATCGATGAAAGCGAAAGTAAACGTGGGGACATGGAGTGCCGCACAATGTTTGCACCTAGCAAAGCTGCCCAGGTTGCGAAAGAGATTAGAAAGTATAGCATAGATGCGCTAAGAATCTACGAAAGCAAATGGAATGTAAGTGAACTCTCCAAACCATCAACTAGAGAGTCAATAATCCACTCCGATATTATCACCCAGATGACAACCACGAACACACTGAGTTTTGGAGTGGCTATCATGATGTCTCAAAGAACATCGAAGGCTCTCTCTCATGCAGTGGGAACCAATCTGCAGGATCATGACAGCAAGATGGACTCAACTCAAAAGGAAGAAAAATCACAACCATTCAGCGTTACGCTATGCACTCAAAAATAATGCAGATGAAGAGAAGAAGGAGGAATTCCACAGACAACTATAATCAGCACTGGACAAGACCCCACTTCAGTTGGCGACATCAAAATTCTAATGGGTGACATGGATTCCAAACTGATAGCGCAAAACACGGAAAGAGGACTCATCCATCATGGGTCAAGAAGCATTCGGTGAAATGAATGAGAATGGAGTACTGTTTGCAAAGTTTTGAGCATTCAAAGATTTGGTGATTGGAGGCACTATGTACAAGCACAAGGATTTTCACAAAGCGACGTGGGTTTCATCAGATGGACATACTACATTAAAAATCAGATAGACTTCATCTTAAGGTGAAGAAAGTGGAGACGCAGCCAGCCTACTGGATACAAAATCAGATCAAAAAGAGGAGCAGCTGTAGGTTCACACCACTATCTAGTGCAAGGAACCTACCTTCAAAATCAAGTTGAAAGCCTTCAAGGGAGTTGGTGATGATAGGCCACAGTTCAAGTTCAACATCCACAACAGAAACTGAATGACAAAACTACAAAGGACATTACATCGACCTTCAGGACAAAATGGGAGACATTGAGTAACATCTCTGGAGAAACCTGCGTGGAAGAACACTGGAACTCTTTGAAAGAGATGTGGAAGGATAACAGGAATAATCATGTTGGGAAGGAAGATGAAGCAAGACGAGACAAGGACTGGATCTTAGCGGACACATGGAACCTGATAGAGGAGGGAGAAGAAAATGGTGAAGCAGAAGATGAACCAGTGCAGTGCAGTGCAGGGATGAAAAACGAAAAAAGGAACTGAACACAAACTATAACACACTACACTGGACAAAGAAGTGAAGAAAAGTGGACGTAAAGACAAAAGACACTTCTACGACACATTGGCAAGTGAAGCAGGTAAGAGAGATAGAGACCTAACAAGATTGTATCAAATAAGATCAACGCAGATGAAAGCAATAAAAGATGATGGAGGAAATATAATTACTAAAGAGAAGAAACGAAGGATACTTCAAAAAACTCTGAACCGATCACCACCACCTGCAACTCATCTGGAAATGCCACCAGCGGCCCAGCAACAGAACTACCAGTGAACACAAGCCCTCCGACGAAAGTAGAAGTGAAGTTTCGAACGCCATAAAGCTGCTGAAATCCGGGGAAAGCAGAAGAACTAGATGGAATTCCTCCAGAAGCACTAAAAACACATGCAGAGACACCAAAATTGCAGAAGTTTTGGACGGAAGGAAGGAAAGATACCAGCCGGTTGATTGAAAGAATGCCTACCTTGTCAAACTCCTAAAAAAGGAGACCTAAGTCACTGAAAGAACAAGAACTGGTGCGGAATCATACTTCTGGCTACGCCAAGCGAAATATTATGCCGCATCGTCCTGGAGAGGCTAAAATATCCTCTGCGTTCAAAATTGCGACCGGAAGAG